CTCAGAGGTATATGCCTATCTTGTGGAAAAAATCGCTCCTCAAGAAATAAAGCAACATATGCATTCCGCTCGGGTAAGTGAAAAAAAATTACGAGCTAAAATATTTAGTTTTTAAATTTTAACTACTTGCAATTTATTCAGTAGGCAAATTCTATCCGTAAATTCTGAATGCTCAGTAGCGTATAACCTAAACAACTTGTTGTTTCTTTATAATTCAAGGGTTGTTGGGGCTATAATTTAATTACTTCTTTTAGGATCGCATTTCATGAACAACAGTGGTAGGAAATTATAAGTCCTAGATGGAATGTCATCTTTAAAGATTATACATTATGTTCTCCGTCCATTTTTACAGAATGAATGAAATTTAACAACCCCCCTTTTTTTCGCTGTAAGTTGAACAGTTGAACGCTGAAAGACTCAAGTAGTGGTAGAAGTCTTAGCTATTTCCTTTTACTGCTTGTACAAATGAATTTGAAATACTAGAAGAACAAAGTCAAAGAGTGCTTAAAGCATTTAAACTTTACACAATACTGTTTTTAACAAAGATGCGAGAGTTACTGTATTCATATGCTTTTTGATAATGAGACATATTTCCATGTCAGAATAAAGTTATCATAACAAACTTTGCGAAGAACCCTAAATGAAAGAAAATCTCATAAATAACCAAAAACCAGCTTTGTTCACTGCCAAATTGATGTAGACTGTTTTGCATTTCTGTCTAAGGAATAATCACATGAATAAAGGTTATTATCACTCAGTTTACTGAGTACAAATCTACTGACCTGACTTCAAGCTCTACTTTATGTATGATGACTAAAATCAGGAAGATCATGGTTCAAACCAACCAATAATTGAAAGTCAAGTGAAGAACTGTTGTGAAATTTCAATCTCAATCAACCCTAACCATACTTTGATTTGAAAAATATAACAGTGTCATTACTCCTAACATCATAACTGTAGGTAAACACTGTCCATGCAGTCTTGTCCCCTTGTAAATAAACCTTTAATCTATATCTCTTATTTCCGCCAGGCAATCTTAGATGCAGTCGATTTAGTTCAACGTGCAGAAATGGTATTACAAAATGCTGAACAACTTAATTGTCGTGTATTTGTTCGTCCAGAAGATATTGTCAGTGGATCACAAAAGCTGAATTTAGCATTTTTAGCTAATCTCTTTCATGGTTATCCAGCATTAGAGAAACAACCTGAAGAAGTTGAAGAGAAAGTAGCTGCCATTGAAGAGACACGTGAAGAAAAAAGTGAGTGTTTTAATTTCTGTTGTATACGATCCAGTTTGTGCTGGAATCGTAATAAATCAACAATACAATCATCATTACGTCGTCATCCTCGTCCTCGTCCTCATTCACATACTCATGATGATCATCGACAATATTATCATCAGCATAATGGTCATTATAATTATCATAATAATATTGATGGTATATAAATAAGACTATTATTGTAAATGATTTTTTTTAGAGATTTCATTTCCATACTACTATTATTATAAGTAGTAGTAGGTTTGTTATAGTTTCCTTCAATTCAGTTAATTTATTGTGTTATCATACAATTTAATTATTATTTAATAAAATTAAATTATTTTAGAAGTAAACTTTTGTTTTATTGACTATGTTAGACATGGGAAGTATGTGATTTTTATTTTTACGGTATGACTGAGTTGTTTTTCATTATTTTTTCTGACTAATAAAAGTTTATCGAAGAAGGAAAATCAGGTTGAGCCACCAAAGTAGATTGAATGTAAATTATTTATGAAAAGTTGTTTAGTTCGTCAATGGAGTCAATGGAGTTCGATATAAAGAGAGAGCTGACTCTGAGATCCGGAATTCTTTCGTGGGTTGGAAAAGACTCGTTAAACACCAACCTAAACTCATTATTGTCAGTAGGTTTCCCTAATAGATTTGTATCGGCCATATTATTCTTGGTTATTATGCCAACAGAATTGTGTTTTCATTCTAAACTAAGGTTTAACCATCAATCGTTAGGAATTTCAAACCGGTTACATAACTACAGATTATGTCAATTGCTAAAAACAGTTCAACTTGTTAAAATCATACGGAAACGAATGTATATATAAATTAGACGCGAACGCAAAAAATGATCATTGTAAGAAACATTTCGAAATGATGTTCATTTAATCAATGCGTTGATAAATGAACAGTTTTAGATGTAAAGTAAATAAATACCACAATGATCCTAAATTATATTAACTCATATACCTGGTCTTTTGAGTTGAAAATACTATTCAATATAAAGTGTACTCAAAAACCTATAAAATATTTTATATAGAGAGATTGTTTCATCATTATGACAGGATATCACCTTCATAATACTCGGTCCGGCATATCGTCACTAACGATGAATTGTTTGTAGTTTAAATCAGTAATCCCTATTTATACTTCTTTAAGTGCTTTGTTTCGTTTGATTTCAAGTGTATCTTCAAACAAACAGAACGGTGACCTCAGTGTTATGCACAGTTCATGTTGGCTAGAATTTTCATAACGATGACAAATTGAAAGTATATTCAGATTTATGTCATAATTTGTCTTGTAAAATAAAACTGATGCTTTCCAGTTAGCTATTGTCTACATGCACGCAAATTTTCAGAAGACCAATCACATTCAACCCACAGATTATCGAAGCGAAATCTAAATACCTCCCAAAAGATTTTACTTTATGAACGATCAAAGAAACCCTCATGTTGATCTGACATATCAAGTGTGGAAAAACAGCATTATTAGACAACATATTAGTTGATACACTGAGGTGAACACAGCAGTAACTATAAAGATGTGTTACACTCTGTTCAGCAAGATATGGAAGGAAGAACAAATACCAGCAGACTAATAGAAAGGGCACCTGATCAAGATACAAAAGAAAGATCTCGTCAGATGTGAGAACTATATAGGCATCACTGTAATCCCAGTACACGGAAAAATCTTCAACGCAGTGTTGTTGAACTGAATGACAGATTCAGTAGACACCTTACTTCCATATCAGCAGGCTGAATCATTTGAAGACCGATGATGCATAGACCGAATCGCAGAAGATACTACGGATCATTGTGGAACAATCAACTTAATGCAACTCACCACTACACATCAACAAGAAAGCAATTTACAGTCTGGACATGATGACGCTATGGAGGCTTCCCCAGCTTTGCAGTTTAGTTAAGGAAGATATTGACCGTCACATGAATTTCCTAAAATGGTTTAAACTGCAAGATCGTGAATGAAGGATAGCTCACAAACTTATTATAAAGTGGGAGTAGTGTAAGATAAGGTTGATCACTCTCACTTCTCGCTTTCTACTGCTGACTGACTGAATTATGAAGACCTCAGCATGTGAGCGCAACCATGGGATACAGTGGACAGCTTGGATGCAAATTCATGATTTCTGTCCCATACACAACAACAGATATAGATGAAGATGATCACCATATTAACAAACTCTACATCAGTATGCCTCGACATTCACAAGGGAAAAAGCAGCATCCTCCGTTACGACACAACATGCTACAAACAAAACACACTTGACACGGAAGCTTTGCAAGATGTGGAAACGTTTTCATAACTGAGTAGCATCATTGATAAACAACGTACACTTAATGCAAATGTGAAGACACCGATCGACAAAATAAGGACAGCAATTCTACATTTGAAGAACATCTGAAACTCAAAACGACTGCCTGTCAGCCAACACCAACATCACAATTTTCAATGCGGACGTCAAACCCTTCTGTGCTGTGTCGCGCTTAAATACGAGGAACTATGAAAGTATTTATCACTAGTTATTCACACTGGATATTGTGGATCTGTTGGCCATAAACCATCAAAACAACCTAGTGTAGGAGAGAATAAACCCGATTGCAGTTGAGGAAGAAATCTGGAAGAAACTCTGGCAGTGGAAATCACGAGATCGCTTCACGAGCTAAGCTATAACTTCGGACTTCTAACAACAAAGGAAAACAGTTTGGCCAATTAACACATGGATTCGGATACTGGAAGCACATATTAAACGAATAAATGGTAACTTTGTAGGACTGGAAAAGAGAGCTCAGCATAGAGTTGGTTGGAACTTGCTGCTGTTCAGCTTCTGGTCTATTATGGGTACTTAGCGTAAATAATTCAATCATTAAGTAACCTCCCACTCCGTTTACTTCTTTTTAATGTATCGTTTGCCGAAGTATATTCGAATACAATTGAATTAAGTTATGCGAGTTCCACTATACCGTATCTAGAACATTCACCATACGACGAACTTTTACTCTTGATTGTGTCACTAATATTCAACATGTTTCCAAATTGCTATTTTCCTGAAAGAGGATTTTCATGTAATTTCATTTCATTTCTGTATGTGATAGTTATGTGATATAAGAAATCAATCAAAACTTGTTGAAATATCTTGCGGTGAAAATTTTACAGTGTTTTAAATAACATATTGTTCATTGAAGCTATGCGAAGAAATTATAACAACTTATTAGAACTAGAAAGAAACGCCTAGGACAGAGTTGATCAGGAATAATTCTAACTGATGCCCAATGCTTCATTTAGATGTAAGTAATTATGGTTGGCACTAGACAAGTTCCCTTAATTGTAAGTTTTAGGCAGAAAATCTTATTAAATCAACTCATTTTCATGAAAGCAAGATAATTCAAGTTTTATTAAATTCCGACGCCACTAAACTTGATGATATAATTTTTAATAAAACTAATGATTATCTCTTTACACATTTGAAATCATCAATCAATCATTGTTAGACTACCACCATTAGAAACCTGGAAGCACTGAAAGACGGCCGTTTCGTCCTGGTATGGGACTCATCAGTGGCAGTGCGCATCCACGACTCCTGCACCTAGCAGGATTCGAACCCGCGACTTTCGGCATTGTAGGCGAACGCCTTACCATCGGACCACTGGGCCCGCATCGAATCCTGCGAGTTGCAGGAGTTGTGGATGCACACTGCCACAGATAAGTCCCATACCAGGACGAAACGGCCGTCCAGTGCCTCCAGGTTTCTAATGGTGGTCTAACAATGATTGATTGATGATTTAAAATGTGTAAAAACGCAAATCTCCAAAACTGTGCCCTAAGATTATCTCTTTATTTTTTTGTACAATAATTCTATAAAATATTCATCCATCCAACGTGTCCTTGTCTTTTTTTTGTTTTTTTCATCAAAAAAGCCTATCGGAATTGGATTAATTCATTGAGTTTAAAGCATCATGTAAATTATTTATTCTATGATTTAATTGATGGTTTAATATTTTTACAATTGTTTGATTCAATTCAACCAAATATTGTTGATTGGAATGAAGTACATGAACCAATTTGTGAGACACCAGCAAAAGCAAATTTTCAGTGTCTTGGTAAGTTAAATTGTGCTGAAACGAAATCAATCTATGTATATATATTTTAATAAACAATGAGATGTAATTGATGTGCCCAAAAAAGTATATATGATGTATTTGAGTGATTTTTAAGTAAATTTTAATGACGTACGAGGGAAATGTGACAACTTCCTGTACTACATTACGTTAATTTTCTCTTTCCTTCATTTAAAATGATCACCTGACACTAATATTACTTTTGATACATGCTTCAGGCGTTATGAAGACATTTTCAAAGTTGACTTTTCAGACAGATATAATACTTGGAAGGTGAGCCGTATCCATTCAGAGCTGGATTGAGTCGCAGACAACACTATGGATCATTGTGAAACAATCAACTGAATGCAACTCACCACTACACATCACCGAGAAAGGAATTGACAGCTTGGATATGATGACGCTATGGAGAATTCTTCCAGATTACGATGTATTTAAGAAGATATTCTCTGTCACAAGAAATTCTTACAATGGATTAAACTGCAAGATCATGCATGAATGGAGGACAGTTCATATACTCATAGCAGATGAGGAGTGATGTTACATAAGGTTGATCAATCTCATTCATTGCTTTCTACTGATGGCCGACTGAATTATGAGGACTACAACTTGTGAGGAAAAGCGCGGGAAATAGTGGATAACTTGGATTCAGTTGGACAATCTGGATTTCGCAGATGATATTAATAGAACAATGTGAAGATGTAACAGATCTGCCAGAAAGAATAAATGATGTATTTAGATAATTTTTAAGTCGGTTTCAATAGCCTACGGGGAGTAATGTGACAATTTCCTGTACTACATTACGTTAATTTTCTCTATCCTTTTGTTTTACAATTATCAGTTGATATTTATATGAACTTTAATTTAATTGATCGCTTATGACAAGTGTGAACATCTGTGTGAGCAGATTGTTCCGGAACTTTGCCTGTAGCCTCTCTGGAACTACTGCTAGTTCCTCAACTCCGGATAAAAGAAGGAGGTTTGACGACCTTATCTCGTAGAAAAATAACTCACTAAGAAAATGCTAACCATACAAAAACAGATTGTTCGAAATATTTGTAGCACAAATACATCACAATATTTTTCAGATCAAAAACGTCGATTAGCGTTGGAAATAGAAAACCATGTTCATCGATCGCCAAACACATAATTGAGACGGGGTATAAGATTGACATAAAGACAGCCTTCAAAACATTGTACAGGAATGTTGAAGGACGAATTTTGAGGTATATGGAGGCCTTGGCTGTTAGGAAATTAAAACCCCCTTTATGTGTGCAGAAACAATTTGTCATAACCTTGAATTTACCTTAGTAATCTTTAAGCCTACAGTAATGTGACAATTTCCCTACCCTTTCTTATTCTTTTCATATTACATTAATTTCTCTCTACTCTATTTATAATTATCACCTTATGTCTATTTGAACTTTTATTCATCTTCATATAAAATGCCTTGACAAGTAAATATGTGTGATCAAATTGTTCGAAATGTATAGCGCAAATACATCACATTTTTCAGAGCAATTACGTCTTCTCACTGTGTCTATCAAAATTTATAAAAGGGACTAATTATTTTAAATCTTCTCATGGTGTCTGATTAAAAATTATCTAAAAGGGACTAATTATTTTAAATCTAATTTAGTATTTCAAGATTGGAAATAATTTTCATTGCGTGTTATTTAGGAAGAAATTTAAAACTGAATATTTTCATCCAAATGAAATTAGGAATACGATGATCATATTTTGTTGTTCAGTGTTCAATTATTGAACATTTGAATTCGGTAGTCCATACTTTAAGTCAATCAATGCCAACTAAACAATACAGCTACTGTTATATAAAGTTTTATATCTTATCAACTACAAAGGAGTTAGTTTAATAGATTGGTTAATTTATCACACATTAAACCAATTTCCGGTAATAACATCAATAATGAAGTTAGTTATATTTAGTTAGTATTGAAACATTGATTCAAGTGAACAATGAATTAGAGAAAAAAAACTGCCGTCTTCAAAACTATCCACTTTATTCCACTTTTCTCTTGACAATTGATAAGGGAATACAAATGAGTAGAACAATTTGTCAACTTTGCGCTATTTTTATTTTATCTAACAAGATTTTAACTAACAAGATTTTAATTTTAATATTACTAATCCTTTGAGCTTAGCACGATCATTGTAGAAATTTCTTTACATTTTTAAAGAATCTAACCTTACGTTAAGCCTGTTAGTGTCCACAGAGCATAGGCCGCAGACCATCATTCTCTAACCTACTGTGTCTTGGAACTTCCTTCACAGTTGTACCCAATTGCTTATCATTCTTTTCATGTTTATCTCCAAGAAATAACCTTATCCTCGTCTGAATTTTCAGGAGTAGACCTTCTACCAGGTGGCTCGCTTATTGACTTACAATATGCCGATGACATATTCCTACTTGGTGAAGACGCTGACAAAATGCAGAGTCTTCTGACTACCCTAAGCAACAATGCAAGCATGTTCGGGATGCGGTTCTCACCCTCGAAATGCAAAATGTTGCTTCAAGACTGGGTTGCATCGGCACCTGAACTAGTATTAGGGAGTGAAGTAGTCGAGCGTGTAGACCGCTTCACTTCATCAGTGCCGATGGCCTGGTGACTGACGAAATCTCAGCTCGGATACAGAAGGCTCGATTGGCTTTTGCCAACCTGCGTCACTTATGGCGTAGGCGAGATATCCGTTTGCTGACTAAAGGACGAGTGTACTGCGCAATAGTTCGCTTTGTCTTACTTTATGGCTGTGAAACATGGCCAGCGAGAGTAGAAGATATTCGTAGGTTACTGGTTTTCGATCATAGGTGTCTTCGAAGCATTCCTCGTATATCCTGGGACACCCGAGTGAGCAACGCTGTTATTAGGAATCTGGTGCTAGGTAAGAACGGCAGATCAATAGCTGAAGTGGTGAAACTTCATCAGTTGAGATGGTTGGGACATGTGTTGAGTATGCCTAACGACAGACTGCCTCGAGGAGCTTTGTTTTGTAGTGTAGGAATAGGTTAGAAGAAAGTTAGGGGCGGTCAGAACAAAACATAGCAGAAATACATGAAGTCATTGACAAGTGAACTTAGGCGTGTCAGAAATTGTCGACTACCTGGTTGGGGTCCGCGAGATGATAATAATCGATGGTTAGATACCTTGAATGACATGGTTCAAAATCGTTCGCAGTCGCGCCGGTGCATTTATTCTTTGTGTTCTCTCAAATCTTAATCTTCTGGATTCTTCAACACCTCTAGTTCTGACTTTCTAAACTTATCTCACTGAATCACAACTTCTTGAATAATATCTTCTAATCCTAACCTCTCCGATTACTTCCAATACCCTTACTACCTCTTCTACTATCTAATTTGAATTGTCAATTACATCTCTGTGCTGACGTTGTATGGCGACATCAACCGATGTACTTACGTACGACGTTCTAATTGCATCTGACTGACTAACTGACTCATGTTTATCTCCAATACTCAGAGCATACTGTGTTCTTTGGTCTACCTCTATTCCATGTGCCTTGAGGATGCCAAGTGAACGCTTACCTTGTGACAACACACTTGGGTGCTTTCTTATAATATTTAGTAATATTTTGTAGATGCTTTAAATAATGAAATCAAGTTACTGACTTTCAGAAACACGATGTTGAATTCGGAAAAAATATCCAACTAGTTTAGATAACATTTACTTATGTCCCACCATGTTAGGTAGTTTGTGAAAGTAAATCAATTCTAAACATGTGAGAACATTATAAGTGAAATTCAATGTGAATTTTATGATTTATTGAAAAGTTTTGAAGTAATCAGTAGAAGTTTTAAAAAATGAAATATTAACTTGATTAATTTGAATGACTCAATGATAATCCAACTTCAATTAGTACATATTGAAAAGTTATCCATAGAAGTGTACTTCTTTTCACTTCATTATAAGTTTGTATGATATCTTGTATGATATCTTTCTATAGAAAACTATATTACTTACGATTTTCGCATCACAGAATCAGTCTGTCAGCAACAAAGTGGAACTTCGTACGTACGTACATCAGTTCAGTTTGCTATACCGTATTACTACAGAGACGTAGTCGTTAATTCAGATCCCGTAGTTGTAGAAGTAGTAGAAGTATGAGTAGTAATTGGAAACATTAAGATTTGAAGATGCTATTCAAGGAGCGTAATGCAGTGAAATAAATTTGAGAAGAGAAAGATAAAGATGTTGAGGAATGAGAGTTAGAATTCGATAGAACACAAGGAGTGGATGGATCTGCGCCTATCATCGGACATTTTACTGGTCATTTAAAAGGTACTTAAGATTTAAAATGTAAGTAACTAGAGAGTTTAGTGGTTCCATTGAGCTCGAAGCAGGGCTCACCATTTTAGTGGCCTGCGATGACTCCGATATTTACGTATGATCAAGTATACGATGAAATAAATCTCCCCTTCAATTTCCGTAAATCATACTTAGGCGAACCGTGTTTGTACGATGGCGTAAATGTGAAGTGAAATGCGAACTCGGTTGGATGAGTATATTTCAAGCGATCGTTCATGCAGGGCGAGAAATGAGAACACAAAACGTTAAAGCAAAGTGGAGAAGGCTGGAAAGCCAACGCCCTTGAGATGAAGCATGACTAAAGATTCATAGTTACAGAAAATAAGCTAGACATGTAATAAGCAAAATAAGCGCCACATACACTCACACACTCAAATAGAAACAACCAAGATAAAAGCGAATAGTTGGCAAGGACGGAAGAAGTAAGGATAGACTGTCTGAAGGTTTGTGACAAACCCTGTAGGGCTCGACATTAAAATTAAACACACTACAAGAACTTTTCGAATGAATATATTTTATACTCAAGTGAACTTTACAAAAACAAGCTTGAAATCTAAGATAAATAATTATTCACTCTTGTCTTCGATTCGTTTTTTATCAATTTTTTTTTAATTTTATTTCAGAAAATTGTAATTATGTCATCAGATTGGGTCGTCAATTTGGTTTTAGTTTAGTTGGAGTCGGTGGGGCTGATCTACACGATGGTAAACGTACAATGACATTAGCATTATTATGGCAATTGATGCGTGCTTACACTCTGTCATTATTAACTCAGCTAACTGAAGCAGAATATGCTGTAACAGGGAAATCAACTACTCACCATAATCATCATCACAATACTCAGCATAATGGTAATGGTGTATTTTATCCAATTGAAGAAACACGTATCATTCAATGGGCTAATCAAAAATTAGACAAAGCTGGAAAATTTAGTAAAATATCTACCATGTCAGGTTTCACTGATCCAAATTTGAAAACATCACATGCGGTGATTGATTTAATCGAATCGATACGACCAAATACGGTGGATTATAGCTTAGTATTGCCTGGTAATACAAAAACTGTGAGTGTTATCGGAATGACTTACTAATATTGTTAATATTATTATTATTTTGGGGCACAGTTTTGAAGGTTTGCGTTTTTACACATTTGAAATCATCAACCAATCATTGTTAGACCACCAACATTAGAAACCTGGAAGCACTGGACGGCCATTTCGTCCTGGTATGGGACTCATCAGTGGCAGTGCGCATCCACGACTTCTGCTCCTCGCAGGATTCGAACCCGGGACCTTCGGCATTGTAGGCGAACGCCTTACCATCGGACCACTGAGCTAACGGCATCCAATGGTGTTAATGTCTAACTCTGATTGATCTAGGGATTTTGCGCGAACTCACCCATTTGTCTTTTGGTAGTAGTTACTGCCTACCCCGACAGGGTTATTATTATTAATTGAATGAAATAAAACCATGTTCACATTGAGTTCGTTAATTTTGTAATATACAGAAGCGATGCTTTGATCTTACGCCTATTAGCCCCAGTGGAGTATAGGCTGTTGACCATCATTCTCCAACTAACTCTGTACTTATCCTACCTTCCCATTTCTACGCAAACGCTGTTCTTTCTTTTCGTGTCTGCTTTGAATTCTCAGCGTGATTCATTCTTTAATTTTCCTCTTTTCCTTTTACCCTGAGGGTTTAAAGTTACGGCTTGCCGCGTGGCGCGGTTGTATGATTTCCACAATTTGTGTTCTATTCATCTGGAGCGATTTTTCTGAATTTCTTCCTCAACTGGAATCTGGTTTGTTCTGTACCTGACCAGATTATCGCTGATTGACTCTGGCCAAAGAATCCGCAGTATCTTGCGTAGATAACGGTTAATAAATACCTATGTCTTGTAGATAATGACTTTCCTAGTTCTCCAACTTTCAGATCCATGCAATCGAACGGATTTGACATTCGTATGAAAATTTCTGACTTTGATGTTTGTTGATAGTTGTTTTGAGTTTCAGATATTCTTCAATTGTAGAAATTCAGTAGTTTTTTGTCTAGTTGGTGTCTTTACATTTACTTCTGTTATGTTCGTCACTTGGTACGCTTGAAGCTATTACGAGTTCACTTAAGTCGATAAACACGAACGAGACAATTACCGGAGTCCAGGTAGGCTACCTTGAATACCAAACTGCAAAACAGAAGTCTTGGTAAGCGTAGAAAGTATATTCTACAAACACACCACAATCACAATACAATCAAACATACAACTCTCGTTTATTTATACATCATAGAAACGTCCTTGGGACAGTTACAAAACTAGCACACTAAAATACACAGCAACCAATCACAGTCATGGTTTTTCCTGACGAGAAATGAAATCTCAAGGTCAACTGATCAGCCCATACTCGTAAACGTGAAATCCAAAATAAGGCATTTATCAAGCGAGTTCTGGGGATCTAACATCCCCAACAACTTCAGATCCAGGTTTTCTGTTAACGATGATGCTCGTTTACGTAAAGGTTTTCAGATCTTGCAAACCGTCCCTATCAAGTGTGATTTGGTTGGGAGGTGTTGTGTTGTATCTAGGGATTTCAATTTTTCCTTTGTATATGTTGAGGCCTACTGTTGCAGAGGCTGACCATTTTCTTCCTGCATTTGTTGTTGTGTGTGTGATAGAATAGCTAGATCACTGGTGGAATCTAAATCGTCCAGGAGCATCCAAGCTATCCACTGTATCCGTTATCTACCGTCAGATGTTGACGTCTCTGTAATTCAGTCGACCACCAGGAGATAAGAAAGGTTGAGCGTCAGCAATCTTGCCTAACACCAGTCTTCACTTGGAACAATTCTGTGAGCTGTCCTCTATGCATATTCTTCCTGTTTAATCCAACCACGCTATTGAGGGACATGTGCTGAGTATGCCTAACAACCGACTGCCTCGACGAGCTTTGTTTTGTAGTGTAGGAATAGGTTGGAAGAAAGTTAGGGGCGGCCAAACCAAAACATGGCAGAAATACATGAAGTCATTGACGAGTGCACTTAGGCATGTCGGTAGTTGTCGACTACCTGGTTGGGGTCCACGAGATGATAATAATCGATGGTTACAGACCGTGAATGAGATGGCTCGAAATCGTTCGCAATGGCGCAGGTGCATTTATTCTTTGTGTTCTCTGAAATCCTAATCTTCTGGATTCTTCAACACCTCTAGTTTTGACTTTCTAAACTTATCTCACTGAATCATACTTCTTGAATAGTATCTTCTAATCCTAACCTCTCCGATTACTTCTAATACCTTTACTACCTCTTCTACTATTGGATTTGAATTGACAACTACATCTGTCTGTGCTAATGTGGTATGGCGACATGAACTGATGTACTTACGTACAAAGTTCTGTGTTACATCTGACTGACTGACTGACCACGTTATTGTGTTGAAGAAGCCTCCATAGTGACTTTGAGTTACACAATTTAAACCTTTTTTGAATTAGTTCATGGACATTTTTTTTGAAAAAATTCCATTTTTCTATCAAATAAAATACTTTTATTTTTTTTTTTAAGGAACAACTTACCAATGCTGAATATGCTATAACATTAGCTAGACGAATTGGTGCAACAGTTTATGCAATGCCAGAAGATTTAATTGAATTAAAGCATAAAATGATTATGACAATATTTGCTTGTTTAATGGCGGTTGATTTAAAACAACAACATTGTCAAACTAAAAATTCATGGAAACAAGTTGAACACAAGCTTGAAATTATTGAAAATACATCAATTCATAATTCTACACATTCAAGTAGTGAATCATTAGAGGCGAAAAGTTATTTACGTATTGATATGAATTGTAAAGAAGAACAAGAAGACAATTTGGAGTCGACTGACGATAATCATAATGCTGAAGGTACAGTAGAAAGTAATGACATAACAAAAAAACCCAGTTTAAAGCCTATTCTTCTTCTAAGAGATACTATACCTAGACCACCACCAGAGAAAATGTTTGTAAAATCATTTAGAATAAATTTATCAAGTTGTCATAGATCACCAATTACTAGTTTAGATGATGCTAAACAAACATGTTCACCTTCAAAAGATTGTGCTGATGTTGATAGTTTAGACGGTTTAGTTACAGCTAATCTCGTGAAAGTAACTAACAAACGAACGACGATACCTCAACCAAATCGTTCACGATCTCCAATTAAACATCATAGTATGAATTATTATTGTATGAAGAAGTCATCATCATCACGATCATGGTCTCCGGTTGATCTACCACCAGTCAATACTTCGAATAAAACATGCTCCAACTGTATAAATCAACTCTCTAAATCAACATCTTCTATTCATCAAGTTGGTCAAGTTGATCATCCACCGAAAAGTTTCTCACCAATTCTGTCTAATAATCATAAACAAACTTTACATTCATCTGAACAAAATTCACATGAAATAACAAAATCAAATACTACAGGTAATTGCGAATTACATTTTACTAGTGAGAAAGAATATACTGATGAGAAAACAATTCATAGTACATTATACACGCTAGTATATCCAAAAGAACATTTTATCGATTTAAAACCATTGAAATATAAATGCAGTTTGAGTAATACTACCATGAAAACAATGCCAATCACTGCGACGAATACTACTACTACTACTACTACCACCAATAATCGTCCACATGGGGGAGGTCGTCTATTTCTAGCAACTGGTGCAAGAAAAGATTTATTCATTTGATCAATCGTCAATAATAACTTCAAAAAAATCATTGACTATAAATTTGAATGCCTTTCTTCCTTTTTTTATTGATTTTCTATTGATTGGTCGATCAATCTATCGCTACATACACATTTATTGATCTATCACACACACAGGAATTGATTTGATGACATTGAATATTGAACAGTCTTTGATAAAGCACCTCTATCTTTGTTACTGAACAGTTTAACCGCGAAAACCAATGAAAATGTCGATTTGTATTTTGAAACTTTGTTTTTTTTTAATACTAGAACTATTAGAAATTAAACTGAAATATATTTTAAATTTATTGTTTGATTAATTATTTGAAATATAGTAATAAAATTTTATTTTTATTTTTTTTTTGTTTAACTAAAGTGTTTTTATTTTTTTAAGTAAGTGAGATGATGATGATGATGATTCGGGTTGGTTAGAGATTTATGGTAGGTGTAGAAAGTTTGAAAACTAGTGAGTAAGGATTCTGAGAAATATATATACATATATACAAAGAAGTACTGAGAAGTTGTTTGGGTTTCGTATGGAATAGTATGTGTTTTTACAGTGCAGGAAATGTAAATCTACACATTGAGCAGATGTTCAATTCACTTTGAACTTAAATGGTTCTTCATATAAAGATAACTGTTGGGGATGTTAGATCCCCAGAACTCGCTTGATAAATATATTTATTTTCGATTTATTTCATGGACCGATCAGTTGACCTTGAAATCACATTTCCCACTAGCATAATCCTGGGCTGTGATTGGTTACTGTGTCATTTTTAATGTGCTATTTTTATGACTGTCTCAAGGACGTCTCTATAGGGTACAAATAAACGCAATTTGAGTGCTTGGTTTCATTGTGTGCTGGCTGAGTGTTTGTAGAATACAATTTCTACACTATATCAAGACTTCTTGCTGATTCAATTTGGTTAAGGGATCACATTAGCCTTCCTGGACACTGGTTCATTGTTTTTTTCGCGTTATTCGACTAAAATGAACTCGTAATAGCTGAAGCATACCTAGAGACGAGCGTAACAAAAACCGTCATTGGAATCAACAAATGTTTTTAACTATTCAACTTTCAACTTAGCCGTAACTACTGCCTGGAATAGCCTCGTAAGGTTTTAGTAGAAAGCTGTGACATTTTAAGTCAGTCATGTTTGTCTGCCTGGAGATGATGGAGGTTGTTAGAATTTACCTATACACATAATTCTCCCATGATGTGTGCCTTTAGTACCCAAATCCATGTTCAACTCTTGTCTTTTGGTGTTAAAAGCCCAAGGTTATGGCATATCTCGTGATTTCCACAATGCATGCCTTATCCACCTCCAGAGTTTTTTCCTGATTCCTTCCTCAGCCGCAATCTGTTTGGTTCTCTCCTACATCAGATTGTTTTGGTGGTGTCTGACCAACGGATCCACAATATATAGCGTGGATAACTATTGATGAATACTTTTATTTTGTGGATGACGGCTTTTATATTTCCCCGTGTTTCATCGCCATACAACAGAACTGTTTTGATGTTCGCATTACAAATTGTGACGTTGGTGTTTGTTGATAGGCAGTTTTCTTGAGTTTCAGATGTTCTTCAAATGTAGAATTGCTGCCCTTCTGTTTTCGATCGGTGTCTTCACATTTGCATAAAATCCACCTTGTTTATCAATGATGCTACTCAGTTACGAAGACAATCCCAGACCTTGCAATGCTTCCCTGTCATTTGTGATTTGATTGGTGCATAGTGTGTTGTATCGCAGGATCCAGCTTATTCCCCTGTGAATGTCAAGATATACTAATATAGAGTTTGTTGATATGGTGATCATCTTCATCTATATCTTTTGTTGGGCATCGGACAGAATTGATAAACCATCTGCGAAGTCCAAAGCATGAATTTGCATCCAAGCTGTCCATTGTATCCCATGCTTCCCCTTACAATTCACAATTCAGTCATTCGGCAATAGAAAGCGAGAAGTAATATACACTTGAAATCTAACGAAGCAAAGCACGCAACGAAGTATAAATAGGGATTAGGGATTCAAACTAAAGACACCTCATCGTAAGTGATGATTTTCCAGACCACAAGCATCATCAAAGTAATGTAATAAAATTGACGAATCGACATCCCTATAAAAAATATTTCAAAGGTTTAGAAATACTCAGTTCATTATAAACAATACATAATGAACAGTATTTTCAGTTCAAACGACTAGGGGTATTAAATAATATATTTAAGGATCATTCTGGTATTTGTTTACTTCACATTTAAAACTATTCTGTAATCAACTGATAGTTTACCTGAAAAGCATTTTGAACTGTTACTGACAATGATCATTGTTTTTGTTGGCATCTAATTTATATATATTCGTTTCCGTATGATCTCAGCAGACCGAAATGTTTATGGTAATTGGCACACATAGTCGTTTAGGTCCCCTATGAAAATCATGAATTCTTTGCTCGGCGTTCCTGGACGATTGACTACATCCTCTCTTTATCTACATCTTCATTATCATCTTTTGCGGGTGCATAACACTGAATGATTGTAATCCCTTCTTCCTTTGTCATAAAGAATCCTATGTCCATGAGATTCTCTTTCTAGAAGTCGCTTGTGAGCTTACTTGAAGAGGACAAAGAACCTCTTTGTGTATGCAAGGTACTTTCTTATTCTAGGCTGGAGTACATGCCTCAGTTTAGCATCTCTATTGAGGCTAATCATTTTTGTCCTGACTGTGTTCATTTTATTTCACTTATTCGAAACATCACGAGCCCGGTTGCCCATAATGTACAAACATTTCATACACCTATATTAATTATTTCTCTGATTGCGAGAACTGGCATCGGTCTTGTAACTCTCGGAGAAATTCGGCTGTTACCATGAGGCGGTATAACTCTACTAAGTGAAGACCTTCCAAATACCAAGATAGAGTTTAAATAGTTGTATTATTCGTTCTAGTTATTGTTTTTTAGGGAGCTGATCTTGTGAGGGATGGGGTTTTGAACCTCTTGCCAAACCATCTTCCTTTATCCAGGTTTGGGACCGGCAGTAACCCTAGATCGGCTCCAGTTGGGGTTAGGTGAATGGTTATTACCATATGAAATAACATTTATTAGAAGTTTGAGAAATTTTAAGGATCTATACACAACCAAAACGTTTACAACGTCAACGACGAAGTCCCTTACCTTCCCATTTGCCTTTAACATTCTTCATAGTACACAGAAATCTTTTCTCAGAAAAAGAAAACGATAAAAAATAATATACCAGAATTTGCAAAAATACCAAGTTTTATTCCAATAACATGTGATCTCTATATAGAATCACTTTGAACAAAAGCCCAAAACATACGAAGACCAACAACGAACGATTAAAGGCAAATCTTACACCAATGAAAATAGTTTTCAATGCCAGATCGCTCATTAGCATAAGTGTCACGTGATTCCAATTAGTTTATCCGAGTGCTTTTCAAAAATTCAAGATACTGATAACAGTTGACATTTACAAAAGATCAAATAAAAAATGCATAACAAATTGTGTTCATTTATCTTGATATGAATCTATGAGTTTTGATAAAAGAGCTTGATTAGCATTTAACTTTGTACTATAATGATCAGTGTTTCATGATTTAGCAATAAGGCTCTCCAAAAAACCAAGATGTTACTGAACGAAGATGTTGTTAGTGGCTACGTTAAATTCAAAGTAGAGCTCATCAGTTAAGTAGCCTGTGATCTGACTTCAACATTTAGAGATATTAGGGGGTGTAAGAAGTATTTGATTTTGACTAATTTGGTCTCGTGTGCTGGAACGGGTATGAGGGCGGTTGTCACTTCCAGGCTGCCCACACCGTGGAAGGTTGTTTCTTGAGGGACCTGAAAAGGAAGGTAGATTAGCGTTGTGCTTAGAGACCTGGTCGCGTGACCGCAAATTTCAAGGGACAATTGCTTGAGGCCGGTCACGCACGGCGTTTTGATGAAAGGTTTTTTAGTATTAGCTCCGCTCTTGAAAGCCCTTAGTGGGCACCCTTACCGATGGAGACGGAAATCCGTGAGGTAGGGTGAGGTGTGACATTTTTAGGGTCGACCTTTTCTAACCTCTTCCTTCCTTGTAAGAAGGTAGTATCGCTGAAGATGCTGGTTGTCTAAGGGAAACACCTTACTTCTGTCATTACCCCCTCTGTAGTCAGCAATACGACTTCGACCACAGACCTTGTGTAGCTGCTTTTAGTCTCATCGTTCTCCAATCGACCTGCTTGTCATGGCAGAACCTTCAGGAACATATGTTCCAGCCAGTATAGCTCGGCTGAGTCATGACGATAGGCAATCTCGACCACCACGTAAAGGTAGCAGCTATGGTCAACTTCAACATTTACAAACAATAAATATGCCATGAAAGAAATCTTACCTTCGATTCCGGTAGATCATACTTAGGCGAACCATATTCAATGCGCCGGCAGTAATAAGAAGTCGAATACCGTTTTTTTCGGATGAATTTATTTCATACAACTGTTCATGCTGTTATGTTCGTCACTAGGTATGCTTGAAGCTAATACAAGTTCATCTGAGTCGATAAACACGAACGAGACAATTACCAGCGTCCATGTAGGCTACCTTGAATCCCAAGCGGTAAAACATAAGTCTTGGTAAGCGTAGAAAGTATATTCTACAACACTCAGCAATCACATTACAATCAAGCACACATCGTAAAACCGTCCTTGGGAAGGTCCTTGGGAGAGTTACGTGGTTACATAGCAGCCAATCACAGCCATGGATTTTCCTGGTGGGAAAAAAATCTCAGGGTCAACTGATCAGCCCACATGAAATCCAAAATAAGGCATTTATCAAGCGAGTTCTGGGGATCTAACATCCCCAACACATGCAGACAAACATGAGAATTAAAAGCTTAACTGTACACCGAAGCAGAGTGAAGGAGAGCTGGCCAACTCAACGTGGTGAGGCACAATCAAGTAACTATAGTCATAAAAAAATTAGCCAGGCATGTAATAAGCGAATGAAGCCGGTATACACACATTCAAGTAAAAATAACCGAGCATAAGAGCAAATGATTGACAAAATTGAAAGGTATGTGATTAACTAGAGAAGATAAGACTGGGATAAGCCCTGTGAGCTCAACATATTTGTATACACACTACTAATTTCTATGACGCTTTATAATTACTACGCTTTCGTATCAGAACATTTGCAAGTTTCACACAACTTGAAGTACACATTTTCTAAAACTAATGAATTCTGTATTTTTTTATACTTAAACATTATTTTATTTAAACA